AGGTCACCAACAACAAGACATTTTTAAAATGGTGTACAAGTTGTATTTACATTATGACTTTCTGAAGCTTATTGAACTTATGAAATTATCTGAATTGTTTGGAATGTTTTCAGAAATCTCTAAAACTTACTAGAACATTCCGGAATCTTCTAGAACTTTATGGAAATTAATAAGATATTAACAAAACTATGTAAACTGCCTGCTAGAATAGAAATTTTATTTATTATTATTATTGCCTTTAAGAAATATATTCAAATCTTATCTTCAATCATAATACCCTATAAGTGCTTGAGCTACTAAAAGAAACTAGACAATCTGGATAATAATTCTCAAACAATTTGTCAATAGGTTACATAGAAATTTATTATATATTTGCACATATATTTGGCTATATTTGGCACATTGATTATTGAAGAGAGCTTGCATGAGAAAAAAGAACTGTTCCACTAGAAGATCAATCACTGGAAGAAAAAAATAAAATACCACTCAAAATCTAAATTGTTGGTTGCTATATGTTCCTGAGAGAATCCATCAAAGGGAGATTAGAAGGTATAAAGCAAATTGAGAATGAAGTAACAAGTTTATGGCAAAAAAAAAAATTCTTACATTTATTATTTCAAGTCATAGAGGTAAAACGAGATCAACAACTGAAAACATGCTATAAATGTGAAAAAAAAAAAAAACCTTTACAGTCTTCTCTGATTGACGAGCAGTTTTGTGCTTTTGCAGTTTTGCGCTCGCCCACACGCCTGCCAATATTACAGCTGGGGCTATTTTGAGCGCTCGCTAAAAAATTTTGAGCGTGTTTTTAAATTGAAACAAATCTTTTTCAAATAGTGTTTTTAAATTGAAACAGATTCCTAATAAAGATGTAAAAAAACAATTATTTTTTAAAATCACGCACGCCTGACAAATAATTACTGTCCGGCCAGCACTTTCGTGCACTGACAATAAATTTCAAATGGAGAAGACTGCCTATAGTATGCTTTTTGACATCACAAAAAAAATGATTTAGATTAAAATAGATTAAAAGCATAAGATAGATCTGGTATACAACTGGTAAGGCTGCTAGTTCAAAAACTACCCATCCATCCAAAAAAAGAAAAAGGTTCTATAAGCCTACTTCAACAACATTAATGGTAACAGCAACAACATCAAAAGGTATTTCAATTGAAAAACATGGAACAAACCAGAATTCATTGATTTTCAGCATCATAATCTTGGCTAAATAGTTTATGTAGTAATGAATAAAGAAATTGAAAGAAACAATATGATAATATGCGCAAATTGAATATTTAATTATTATTGAACTTGTAAAGAACTACAAACAGTTCAGGAAGAATTTCAAGAATGGTAAAGAGATGATTACTGAAACAGCAGGATGACATGATAATAGGAAATTTCTTTTTCATTTAATTCGAGTATTCTGCTTTTTTGAAGAATCTGAGTTATTTCCTAAAGTAAATATAAAGAAAATACCTAACTAATTAATACAAGATAAAATTCCCATGCAATACAAGCTCTTTTGGCATTTATTCTTCTACCAGTGAAATTAGACTCAATTATTTTATTTGTTTTGTTTAAACATATCTACTTTTAAAAGGCTGCAAGCATCAACTATTACAGCTGAAAGTTACTGGAAAAAGTTTAAGAAGCAAGATAACAATTAACAGACAACTTAAAAGATTGCAAATTGTATGAATCAAGAAAAGAAGATAAAAGGAGCAAATTAAACTGATGTTCGAGAAAAAAACTAGATAAAAATTTTTTTTTGGAGTACTGTCACTTTTCTTAAGTGCTCCAAAAAATTTTTCACCTAGTATTTATTTAAATATATTAAATAAATATATATATATATATATATATATATATATATATATATATATTATATATATATATATATATATATATATATATATATATATATAATAGCTCTATAACTATAAATGGAGTAATTACCTAAAACTCACAAAAACGTAAAAATAAACTATATAAATGCAAAAAAAACCTCTGCGCAAATCCATTTTAAAGTATCGTCAAAAGTTTGAAAATTTCTTATGTAAAGGATATAAGTCTTATCGAAACACAATTAATTTATCTATGATTCATTTTTCAAGACCAGGGCTTATTTCAAATGCACAATGGAATTCAGGAGCTATGTATTGCTTGAAATATATGCTTTTGACTTGGACAAAAAAAGAATCAATAATAGAGGCATGCAATTTTATTGTAGATCACTGGTCCAAGACTGGTTCTCTTTCGGAAGAAATGTTAATCATATAACGAAGTTAAAATTAGCATTAACTGGTAATTACCTAGAGACACTGTAATATTTGGAATTATTGCCTATTAAACACAAATGAAGTGTGTGAAAGGTCTCTTGCAAAAGTTAAATTATTTCTTCAAAGAAGCATCATCAACTTAAAAGCCAAATTTCTGAGACATTCTAATAAACTTTAATCTGCCTATGTGTGTTATTGTAGTTGTAATTTAGTGTTTGAACTTACATGATGCAATTTTCAAAAACTTATAACTAAAACTTAAAAACACAACAAACAATAACTTTACCCCTAATTACTTAAATTTTTATGCATAGTTCATAAGCATGGAGACACACTAGACAATTTGCAAGACCTGACATTTAAAGGGATGGTTTTTAAAATTAAGGGGTCTTTTTCAAAATATAAGGATTTTGTTTTAGCAATACATCTAGTATTGAAAGGTTTTTAAAATTATAATATTGACAAGTTATAGGGAGGGGGCTCTCTAGCCACAGCACTATTCCTAATGTATTTTCAACAATCAATGACTGCCTAAAACTACTAAAAACACTTTTTTGACCTCACAGAATGAATTATTGCCAATCATAGTTGACTGTTTGAAAAAAAAAATCAGAGATTTAAAAGCAAGATTTGACCAGATGCATCAACATAAATTTTATAAAATTATTTAAATTTTGATAAAGTGTTTAAAATAGTTTTTATGTTTATGATTTGCTAGCGAGTTACTAGCGAGTCATAAAAACAAAAATTTTGAAAGTGCAAAGAAGTTAAAGTGAACTTTTTCTTTAATCCTTATATTTTTCAATACTGCCTGCTTTTTATCTTTTTTTTAAAAACGTTGCAATAATTTTTTTTTTTTATGAATATAATTCAATAGTTAAGGATTAAAAACTTATTAATGATTCATATCAATATAATTCAATAATTAAAAATTATTAGTTATTAAAAATAAAATTATTAAAAGTTACTGGTTCCTACTAATTTGCAAAAGTTATTAGATAAAAATTTTAACAAAGATAAATTTAATATATTCTCGAATATATTATTAGACTTATAATATATTCAATAATTAAAAATTATTTATTTTGAATTTATTAATAAAAATTATTAATAAAAATTATTAATTTTCAATAATTAAAAATTATTAATTTTATATTAATAATTCTACAACTTATATTATAACTAGTAAAATTATTAATATAAAATTATTAACAAATTAATAATTTAATATATTCTTGAATATATTATAAGTCTAATAATATATTCGAAAATATATTAAATTTACCTTTGTTAAAATTTTTATCTAATAGCTTTTGCATATTAATAGAAACCAGTAACTTTTCTGCTTTAACAACCCTGAACTCATTAATTTGCTTCGTTGACATAACATATGCACAATGACCTGACCTATATTCATTAGGTTTTTGTTCGAAAATTGCAAATAAATGAATAAATGATTTATAGATAAATTAAAAATTACTGATTGCACGCTTACGCTTTTTTTTTTAATAAGATATTAAATAATATATATATTTTTTAGAAATATCGTTTTATTTAAATTTAATAATTTTTATTGTAGTGTTTAATTTTTAAAATTTGTTTCATTAAACAAATAACTTAATATTAGAAGACTTTATAAAAAAAGTTTAAAACAATTTTTTTCTTAGTATTAAATATTCAGTTTAAATAGTATCTGCAAACAAGACTTAGTAACATTATTATTGACTAATTAACATTAGCAGTAGTTGAAATGATTTTAATGAGGAAGAGATACAAAATGGGCGATTATATTCTTTAACTTCAGAGATTTATTTCATTATTATTCGAAATTAATGTATGCTATTGCAATGAAATGAGTTATTTGTAAAGAAATTAAAAATTTTCAATATTAAAACTCAATTTAATAAAAATATTAATTTATTATTATTAAAACAATACGAGTTCTTTACCCTTCAAGCTTTTTTTTGTATTTATAAAGTGAGGAAGAGCCATAACTAAGATTGAATGGCGGGCTGCCCCTGCCTGCCTCATGCCCATGCCTCTGCACCCAGGCAAATCAGTTTACACGGGCTATAGCCCATGCCTCTGCACCCAGGCAAATCAGTTAACACGAGCAAAATAAAGCCCATGCAAAATATAAATTTTTGGTAAAAATAAAGTTAAATACTATGTCATTCAGGATATGCTAAAAAAATTATGAAAAAAATAAATTTTGAACTTTCTGATGTAAAAATAAATAAAAAAAAAATTAAACAAGTTATTTCAAACAGCTATAACAGTTCTGTATCACACATTTTGCTTAGATAATAAAGACAATTTCTTTTTGCATAATCAAACGTTTTGTTTAATTGATTGATAAACTAGTTTGTCATACTTTAAAGTTGTTTAAAGTAGTGCATATTTTCCTGTGAAATTATGCACTACTTTAAACAACTTTAAAGTATGACAAACTAGTTTATCAATCAATTAAACAAAATGTTTGATAATTAAATAAATGAGCCCAAAATTGAAGATACTTTGGGCTAATTTATTTAAAATGAATATTTATTAATAATTTATAACTATATATATTTCTTTTGTATGATAAAAATAATACTACATGATTTCTTCATATTTTATTTTCATATTTATACTTGCGCTATTTTTAATACATTTAAATATATTTTACAGCAATAAACCTGATATATAAAATAATACTGCATTTAACACCCTATTATTGGTTCTATTCATAAATAAATGTAAAAAAGAGTTGTTTTTTTTTAAATTCATAACGCTTTTTTTATACACACTTATATTATATAAGAATATATTTAAGAAGTATATATTTAAAAAGTATATATACCAGAATCTTAAAAAATCTATTAGTACTACTTCTCTTAGAAATTAAAAATTAGATTATCTCAAATTTTAACTTACATATCACATCAACATAACATATATCTTCTCCTAATTTCCAAAAAGAATATAAAATCAATTACGAGTTCATAAAAGAGTATGGAAGTAAATAGAACGGAAATGATAGTAATAATTAAAATTTTAGTCTCAACAGTTGAAAAACAATTGTTAATAGAACTCTCTGGTTCAAGGTTTATTTAAAAAAAGATTTCAATACAATTGTCACTATATCTTTATAGCTTAGAGATGTCACTGTTAAATTTTTAAAATTTAATTTAATTTACAGAACACAAGAAAAATGAATTAACTAAAGAAGCGCAATAAAAAATGTTATATTTTATTCCATTACTTTAACAAGGCAATATATTAATACTCAAATAGATCTTGCAATTTGCTACGTTCATTGCAAAAAATTTTATGCAAGTGTCAAGATGCTTGAATAACGAAACATGTTGCGAAGGTTGTTTTTCTGCCACTTTTTGCATTGCTTGCAATTATTGGTTTGATTATATCTGGAATAAACTCAACAAAAATCTGATTCTACAACTGAGAAAACTGGAGAATAATAGAATAAAGTTTGAATAAAAATTGAGAAACAAAAACAAAACAAAAACATAATAACAAAAACTCACTAAATAGAGCGCACACTTATAACTCTGAGCGAAAGATAAAAACTGCAGTGTAAAAAACTATAATCTCAATTTTACAAGTATCCAACTATTCGAAAATTAATTACTAAAGTCTTTTTAAATGATTTGTCACTCTCCTACTTGGTAATATTTGTAGAATTGTTGATTGTAGAAATTTTTCTATACAATGACATTTTCATTCACAAAGAAAAAGAGAAATGAATGAACATAATAAAATAACAAAAAAGAAGAGAAATCAATGAACATAATAAAATAATAAAGAAGAAGAGAAATTAATGAACATAAAAATAAAATAATTAAAATCATTTGTTTTTATAAAACAACTATCTGCTGTATAACAGTTTTTTATTGTTTTATTAGAAAGATTGATTATATTTTAACTTTTGAAGTTTTTTATTTATTATTTAATTAATTACTAAACTATTAAATAAGAATTAGATATAAAAAATTATTTTAAAAAAAACATTAGGCTTTATTTTTTGCAAGTTATTTTTCTGTCTTTTTATTGCTAAAAAAATATTTATATTACAATTAAAATTTTTACTATACCTGGCATGAAGAATCAACTAAATAAACTTTCAAAATAAAAAAAATTTCATTAAGACATAATAGTTTTATTTTTTCAAAAAAGTCTGTGCAAGACTATCAAGGCCGGCAGCCTGCTTAGAAGGGTTTAGATGGACTAATTATAGCTTGTGCACTCATTAAAAAGGTACAATATTTAGGGTATCAATATTCCATCAAAATATCGTAAAAATAAATATTTTTTTAACAAATAGAAATTAATCTGTAAAAAGAAGTTTAAATGGCAATGTATAAATGGCAACGCATCAATATTAACTTCAGCCTCAAAACAATGAGATTAAAAACTTTAAAACTTCTCTTATCCTTTAATAAGTCTGGTTTTTGGTGTCAAAGTATATTTACTGTATATTTACAAAGTATATTTATTTGGTGTCAAAGTATATATACACCAAAAACCAAAAAAATGATTTTTTAACTGAAAACTGATATCATTTTCAAGGCTTCACACTGAGTTAACTTAGAGGCTTTGCATCTCTGGTTTAAAATTTATGGTAATACTTTTTATTCATATATATATCTGTATATATACATTTATATACTAAGTTTACAAACAGTAGTAAAATTTTTAATGTGTGTAAGAGGTAAAAAAAAATGCTATTTATGATAAAATTAAAATATTATACAAAATTAAAAATTTAAAAAACCAAAAAAATATATGTTGGAATTACAAAATAAAACAAAATGAAAATAATTTACTTCTTTTAACTTTACAAATGTAGCTGTTATTATTGCGACAATTTTGAAAACTCCAACCATTAACATTTATTATTGCACATTTTACTGTTCCCATTGAAAAATTGTTTATTTGATTTAATATGCTTTCACCTAATAATTTTTGATTCCAAATAGTATTATCAGACCACACATATCTTTTGTGACTCATAAGATAATTGAGACCTTAAAAGATAGTATTTCAATAAAATCTATTATTAATATATATATATATATATATATATATATATATATATATATATAGATATATATATATATATATATATATATATATATATATATATATATATATATATATATATATATATATATTTATATATATATATATATATTTATATATATATATATATATATATATATATATATATATATGTATATATATATATATATATATATATATATATATCTATATATATATATATATATATATATATATATATATATATATATATATATATATATATATATATATATATATATATATATATATATATATATATTATCTTATTATTATTGTTTTAACTAAAATAAAAAAACAATATCATTATAAACGAATTAGTTGCATAATATACTTCAATGCTCTTTAAAAAGCATGGTTGTTGCAAAAAAAAAATTTAAATTTAAAAAGAGCACCAATTTATATGAGGAGCAGCTTGCACAGCTAAGTTTATTTTAGGAGAGCATTTCTCTGCTCTCATGCTCATTTATTCCCGCCGAATACATATATATATACATATATATATATATATATATATATATATATATATATATATATATCTATATATATATATATATATATATATATATATATATATATATATATATATATATATATATATACATATATACATACATATATATATATATATACTATATATATATATAGATATATATATATATATATATATATATATATATATCTATATATATATGTATATAGTATGTATGTATATATATATATATATATAAATATATATATATATATATATATGTATATATATATATATATAAAATATATATATATATATATATATATATACATACATATATATATATAATATATATCTATACATATATATATATATATATATATATATATATATATATATATATATATATATATATATATATAAAATTTAAAATCATATAATTTCTGTAAGTAATATTTATAAAAACTTCAATGATTAACATTTAATAATGAAAGTAAAAGTTTTAAATTGTCAGTTAAAATTTACTTTTAAAGAATTTTAACCAAATAAAAGTGTTTTGTCGCTCTTTTCATTATGAACTGATTATTTTTTAAAGTCAATAAAAGTTAACATCTTTTACAGCTGAAATTTACATAAAAAGTATAAATCAATTTAATTTTTTTAACTTGTTTTGTCACTCTCTCACTTTAAGTTTTTTATTTACCTGGTTATTTACCTGGTATGGCCATACCAATATTGCTAAGCAACCCAGTTATGACTAATTGAGCTATGTAGACATTAGTCCATAAAGAAGCCCATCCTTGTTATGCGTAACTTATAAAGTTTTAATTTGAAACAATTTCGGGAAGTGACTGTTATAGTATCATTATCAAGTGAGTTCCAGCGGGTGACTACATATTCTGAGAAGAAATATTGTCTGACCATAGTTGTAAAACTATTTTTAACCAATGTAAGTGGGAGACCTATTGTTCTTTTGTTTGTGGCTAATTCAAAAAATTTTTTGTATAAAATAGTAGAAAGCCCATGCAACATCTTGTGCACTTCTATTAAATCAAATCTTTTCCTTCGTTCCTCAAGTGTCCATAGACCTAGTTTAAGTATTCTGTCTGCATACAATAGATGTTTAATTTCTATTACTATTTTACTGAAACGATGTTGTATTTTCATTATTATTTTTTCAGTCATACTTCAATAGAATTTTAAAAAAATGTAATTCGAGATCTTATTGTTTAATTAATTCATATATTTAATATATGTATATTTATATAAAATCATAACTTTTATACAATTTGTATTATTAAATCATTATTAAATATTGTTTAATGATATACAATAAACAATAAGTTTAATCATTTATTAAAATTTACTTTAAAAAACAAATTAGTTTAAACTTTGTGCACTTAATTTAGCTTTAAAAAACCAAAATGAATAAAAAAAACTTTGAAGAGCAAAGGTGATAATGATAATAACCATTTTTTAATTTTGCTTTTTATTTTATTGCCTTTGAATCATAAGTATTCTTGTGAACTTCATTAACTTTTATATAGACTTTGTGCTAAAAAAAAAAATTACTGTAAAAGTATAGAACTGTAAAAATAGTGTAAAACTACTGTAATACTTGTAAAAGTAGCGGTTAAAGTAAGTAAAAAAATTAAAGTCATTCATGCTGAAGTCTGCTTTTTCTAAAATTAGAAGAGCGAATATTAGCAATAATTTTTAATAATTAGTTTTCAAAAATATTTTCTAGGTATCCCATATCATAATATTTAAAAATTACTTAACTGAACAAGAAATACGCAGAATGCAAAATATTTTTAAAAAAATGGTGATAGATGACTCAAAACATTGCGACTGACATTAGCTAAATTTTTACTCTCAACCAAAATTTAACTGTACACCACTGATAAATATATAAATATAAATATATATCTATATAAATATATATATATATATATATATATATATATATATATATATATATATATATTACTATATATATATATATATATATACATATATATATATATATACATATATATATATATAGTATATATATTTATATATATATATATATATATATATATATATATATATCTATATATATATATATATATATTATAAATATATATATATATACATATATATATATATATATATATATATATCTATATATATATATATAATATATATATATATATATATTATATATATATATATATATATATATAATATATATATATATATTATAAATATATAATAAAACGGAAAAAACGCTTTAATAACTCTTGTTTTATTGCGTTAATAAGGGAGGTAATCCACTGTTATTTAGCGTGGTAGCCCTCCCACCATCAATATCAGCTTGGACCATCCAATGGCAACTGCTGCAATGTTGCCCGATTTGTTGGATCTTGACAATTTTGGTGAATTAATGACCAAATTGTGTGCTAAGGCAGAAATTCCACTACCTGACCCTAATCAAAAAGCTGCAGTCTTAAAACAAGAGCACTTCGCAGTAGCAATCAAATCTATGTTCAAGGCTTTCAAGGCGGTTTTTGATAAACAAGAAAAGCAAATAACTGATCTAAGCGAAAGAATTAAAGCAATAGAAACAAAGAAGCCAGATAATGTTGTAATTCCGCTTTTCAGCAACATAGTTAAATCAAGGAAACTCAATGCACAAGAAACTAACTGTTTAATGGCAGTTTCAAAATTTCAATCAGAAAAAGATCATAAAGCAAATAACATAGTTTTATAGGGATTAAAAGAATCAATTAAATCAGAAGAAGAACACAAAAAAAATGATGATTACGATCTCGTTTGCAATCTTTTAAGTGAACTGCAGCTACCGCCAAATAATAATGTATCCATATCAAGAACTTATCGAATAAGACCAAAACAACATCACCATCATGCACAAAAAAAGGAAAACTTAACAAACATGGACGAAGAAGATGAAACTATTAAAACATCTGTCAGTACCCTAAAACCTGCACCTTTAATTGTCGAAATTGTAAACGGAAGTTTAATAAGAAAAGAAATTTTAAAACTCGCCAAGAACTTAGCTAAAAGCAAAGACTTTAACAATGTATTTATTCAACCTGATTTAACCAGTGCAGAGCGCAGTTTAAGGAAAGAGCTACTCACGAAAAGAAACAATCTAAACAAAGAAATACCGCGAGAGAACAACAGATTTACTGGTACTCACTACTTTGGTATCAGAGGTACTGAGGTTAAGAAAATTAAAATTGTCCAATAGCAATTCATCACTACCCGGTTTCTGTACACGCCAATAAATCCTACAATTAAAACTAATACAATAAAAAACAACCTCAAGAATACATTTATCATGTTGCTCCTCTAAGGAGGTACCTGGTAATATTACGTTAACCCAAATCATACCATCCTCAATACCAAATCAACAAAAATTATTCTCCAATGAACTAAATTCTGACGAAAAAATTATGCCAGACAGAAAATTGTTAAAAACTAAAGCATTAAAACCTAAATGACCAAAACCTAATCGAACTTTGCGATCACAATACAGCCAACAACATAATAAAGCTTTGCTTAGAGATCCAACAACTATCGATTTTTCTGATATACTTTATTACTGGGCCAATAATCCATGCTCACTTAATAAAGATAAACATAATGAACTTGTTGCCAGGCTAGCTAATATCAGAGATCCATCACTGTTACCGCACGTCATATGGTTTACTGAAACTTTGTTCACAAACGATTCTAATACATCGATCGCCGGTTATCAATTACATCGTAAGGACAGAATCGGCAGAGGAGGCGGTGTTGCCATCTACATCAAAGATAGTGTCGTTGCTGAAGAAACAAATGTTGTCCAACTTAACTCGCCTGAAATTGAAAGTAGTCAATTTCAATTTCATCATTGAAAGCTCTGGGGTAAGTATATTGCTGCTGGTCGCGAAACACAAGAAGCACTTCGAGTAAAACATAAACTTGCTTGCAAAATAGCTAAAAAGACTATAAATAAGGCGGTAACCGATCATGAGGAGAAGCTTGTCAAAGATTCAAAATCTCACCTAAAAAATGTGCATGCGTATGTCAGAAGTAAACAAGAAGTCAAAGATCCTCTTCATTCAATCGAAACTGACAATGGCATTATTACAACAGATAAAAACATAATTTGCTCCACCCTCAATAACTATTTTCAGTCTGTCTTTGAAACTGAACCTGATGGCAGTATGCCAACATTTCCCGATCATACTCAAGCAACATGTAAAATTAATGAAAATTGGTTCACAATTGAAGACATTCAAAGTCATCTAAATAATCTTGAAGAGACTAAATCAATTGGTGTAGATAGAATCCACCCACGTGTATTACGTAACTGTGCAGCAGCATTTGCAAAACCATTCAACTCTATTTTTAGACAATCTTTATTGTCTGGCTCTGTACCTGAATATTGGAAAAAATCAAACATTACTCCCATCTTCAAGAAAGGGAGCAAGCTTAAGGCCTACAATTATCGACCGGTCTCCCTCACCTCAATACCGTGCAAAGTAATGGAAAAAATAATTCACAAACATATTATGGCGCCACTGTGTGGAAAACAATCTAATCTCCAAGCATCAGCATGGTTTTATTCGTAAAAAGGGATGTCTGACTAACCT